ATAAAGTATACCCTGAGAGAAGAAGAGTGGGCTACTGTGGGGAAAGCCACAATATCAAGCTCTTCTAGGTGTCTATATCCTTTTTTTTTTAGTACTGGGTATCGAACTCAGGACTTTGCATTTGCCAGGGATGTCAGTGCCACTGAACTACATCCCTGGCCCTCCATATCCTTTATACTGTCAAGGAAATACATGAGAAATTCTACATATGGGTCCTGAGAGGCAGTGCTGAGATCCCACACTTCAGGCTGACATGTCTGGGCCATCTTACTGAAAACCTGCTCGAGTTATCTAAAGATGTCCAGGTGCAAGTCTTTGGAAAATGTTCTCTGCACATGTCCTGAGATCTGATAATTAACAGGCTGCACCTACTTCCCCAGCCAGTTTTGCCTTGCCGTAATCTCCTAGGTCAGTATGGTCGTTTTGACAATATTGATTCTGCCTACTCGTCAATAAGATATATCTTTTCATTTTCCTCTTCAGTCTCCTTTTTTGGAGTTCTATAGTTTTCCTTATAGAGGTCTTTCACTTCCTTTTTAAGGTTAATTCATAAGTATATATTTTTTCATTAAGTTTATTGGTACATTTTAGGTATGCAATACAGTTACATCCATCATTGGGATCTTGTACCTTTACGTGATGTATCTTGGTTCTTATATTTTCCCCATTCCCCTGTTTTGAAGCTTTTCTGAATGGTACTATTTCCCTAATTTCTTTCTCAGTGTGATCATTATTGGTATACAGAAATGTTGTTGATTCCTGTGTGTTGATTTTATTCCTAGCTACTTTCCTGAATTTGTTGATTAGTTTTAGAAATTTTTTGAGTGAAATAGTTTTGAGTCTTCTATATACAGAGTTATGTCATCTGAAAATCAGGGTAATGTTATGATAGGCAGCTAAGTTAGATAAAAATTAATATACAGAGAGCGACAGGCTCTCAAGGAAGTCAGTGAAAGTTGAAGATATCAGAATTGTGGCTGGAGGCCCAACTGAAGAAGGCCAGGCATTGGAAATTAAAGTTACAATGGACAGCCTTGCATACTTCGCTAAGAGATGAATAGAAACTTGAAATTATATGGTTATTGATACCACCCTGTCTATTAAGTTCAAATATGCATCCTAAAGGACACCTGGGTCCACCACTTCCCGAAATGTTCCTATTTTAGAAGTCATAGATACGTCTAGGTTAATAATCTCAGCTATATGCCTTTACTACATGCCAGGCTTCCCTATTGGATCAATATTAGCTAAGTGGCTATACTTGTAATCTTATCTGTTCATTATAGTTTGATCCACATTGTACTCACCTCATGATTTTACCTTATAAAACATTCTCAGAGAAATTATCTTGGTGGTAACCCACTAGCAGGACCCCTCCTGTCTCTCAGGAGCTGTTCCTGCTCCTCAATGAAACTTTCCTACTCTTAATCTCCTTTGTCCTTCAGAATTCATTCTTTGATTTCAGGGGACATTAACTTGGCACACCTAACACCTAGCAGGCTGTGAGTTCAAATTCTCCTACACCAGCCTGACCTCTTTATTTTCTATATGTATTCATTTTATTTCTTTCTCTTTCCCAATTTTTCTGGTAAAGTTTTAAGAACTATATAAAACAGAAGTAGTGAAGTGGACATTCTTATCTTGTTCCTCAGAACAGAATTCACTTTAATAAGAGAGATTTTCATTTTGTCAAAGTGATTTACTATGTTTTCTACTACTTTTTGATAGTTCCTAAATGTGTAGAAAAATCAAGTCTTAAGAATTTGGGATTTATTGGGGTACTTGTTTAAAATTTTATGTTACAATTCTGGTTGCATAAGTGACTATTATGTGAAATGTCCTTTATTTTTAAGGATATAAGTGCCCTGGTATATCATACGGTCAGTCACAATTATTGTAAAAGTAACAAAACTGTTTCTCTAATTTGATACCTTTTGTATTACTTATAGTTATTTACCTGCAAAAGCCCTGCTCCTTTTGGTCAATAAAAGACAGTCTTGCTTTGAAAAATACATTCTTATTTGATAAAATACATACCAATTCTTATACCCTGTTTTCAAAAGCTTCTACTGTTCTGTTGTGTGCACCCAAGAAAATCTATCGGTATTTCTAAACTGTAATTCTTGGTCTTGATAATCATTTGCTTTCTCCCAAATGGTAATTCATGTTGATTTATAAGAAAAGGAAATTCTAAGTATTATCTTGATATACCTTTCTTGTAAAACTAACTTTATTTCACAAAAATATTGATGTTTTTTAATTAACTTGGTCATTATGTTTCTTTGTACAAATCAGCTGTACAGATTAGATTTGCCTTGTTCTTACTGGCTTGTTTTATGTCTGTGTGTAAGCTTTTCAACTATTGTTTATCAAAGTTCTAATATTTTAGGGTCTGGCTATGTCTACCTGAAAGTTTTATAACTCTCATTAGTCAAAGTTCTAATGTTTTAAGTTGCTGGCTATAGAATAGATAAGGATAGACGACAAGGAACTCTAGATGAACTTAGCCTAAGAGCCACTCTTCCTCTGATATCGACAAATTTGGCCAGAAGAGTTTTACAACACAGACACCAACTTTCTGTCATGTCTGTTCCTGTGTCAGACATGCTCTTTTGAGCACCACCAGGGAAAGTCACTGTAGCACTGAAGGACAAACCAAAATAATTAATTCTTAAGGTCTTCAGAAGGGAAGAAAATACATTCAGAGATGGGGACTTGTGAACATCAAAGTCACCTGTGTGTCACTACTCCCAGCTAAAACCAGAGCTACAGAGATTATAAAGATTATGAAAGATTATGCATCTATATCTAAAAGTGATGTAGAAAAAATATAACTCCTAACCTTTTAGATGTCACATGTGCCAAGTTTGTGTGGTCTTACAATATCCATGAATGAAGTTGTGAACCAAGGGTGGAAGTCAGGAAAGTTTTATTGGAAATAAGAAGAGAAAGAATAGCTCCTGGAATTCCAAGAGTTTCAAGTGGATGGCCATTGAGATTCTTTGACAAGGGTAATTCATACAGCAAAATCACAATGGGATATAACATGGGTCAAACTATAATCAACATATAGAGTTAAAACAATCATAGCTTAACTAATATTGATCCAACAGGGAAACAGATAACATAGCAAGGGTATATGGAAAGAACAAAGATATTTTGGAGAAGGGAAGGGCGTGAGAGTCCTGATGTTCTGCTCACCCACCTATGCATCTGATGTCTAGCTGAGCCCACTGGACCAGGTGATGCTAATTACAGTGTAACCTAAAGTTGCTGTTTCTAAGGGATATAGAAGAAATATAACTCTTAACCTGTTAGATGTCAAATGTGCCAAGTTTGTGGTACCACAACATTGGGGACTGAAGGTACAAACCAAAGAAAGAAGTTAGGAGAGTTTTGTAAGAAATAAAGACAGAAGAATAGCTCCCAGATTTCCAAGAGGGGTTTTGAATGGAGTGACTGCTAAGGGTGTTTGTCAGGGATAATTTATACAGCAGAGTCACAGTGTGGTACAATGTGGGTCAAATCACAATCAACCTACAGGATTACAAATGTAGCTGCTTAGCTAATATTGATCCAAAAGGGAAACAAGTCACATAGCAAGGGTACATGGAAAGAACAAAAGAATTTTGGGGAAGGGATGGGTCCAAATGCTCTGGTCACCCACCCAACAGGGCCACTGATGCCTAATACTAACTGCAATGGTTTGGTGTTACTAATCGCAATATAATCTCAAGTTATTGTTGCTCTCTTAGGGAGGCATGCAGGCCTGGCCATTCCATCTTTATGTTGGGCCTAGCCTTCTATAGATGTACCTCCAGCCACATTCTGATGTCTTTATTTTTTCTGCTGACTTCCATGAGAGCCCAGTCTCTCTCTTACTGTATATTTATTTTGATCTAACTTAGCTGCCTATAATACTGGGAGGGTAGCAGGTCTTGCTATTGCTTTCCCATCCTGAAACTTGGCACTCTTCAGATTTGCTTCCAGTCACAATTCTGTTGTCTTTATTTTTGTGCTGACTTCCTCAAGGGCCCAATCCCTTCTCAACTGTACATGAATTTATATTTAACATAGCTGTCTAATAAAAGCTAAAACCCCTTCACCAGACATAGCTGTTAGATATTTCCTGACTTTGGGTCTTCCATCTTTGACTATACAATCTTTAGCAGTACTTTTTCACACTGAAGCATCGGCCTTCCCTTTGCGTATACTCTAGTTACCTCTACTAAAATCTATATGTAAATCAAACATTAGACAGACAGATGATGGGGTGCCTCAGCCATCAATGTAATTGGTCAGGGTCTAAAGAGATTCACAAAGCAGAGATGAGAAACATAAGCCCACGCTACTCTTAGGATAAGTTCACTGACACCTGTTGTGGAAAAAGAATTTTCAAACCTAGTTAGTAAGCACCTAAAGGGATTTATTATGTAAAATTTTAAAAGTACACAGTAAATGATATAGCATGAAAATCTGAAGGGGGTGGTTATAGCTGGGGGTGGATATATTTATGGAGGCTTCCTGTGGAAATCTGTGGAACTGTAAATCTGTGGAAAGAGAAGATGAAAGGCATTAGTCCTCTTCTGCAGAGAAAAGGGTAATGGCCCATTAGCATGTGATGGTCATCAAAAAGCCATTTTGAAAAAAAAAATTAAAGACTGAGATCCATTTGCAAGTAAAAGAAATGGCTCAGGCTTATTATGTCTTGGAAAGGAAAATAAAATTAAGCTAGTTTTGTCTTCTGAAGCTAAAGTTTTTATTTTTAAAATAATTATTTTCCTTGTTTCTTTTGTACCTATCTTTATTTTTTCTATCCTAGCTCACTCCAAATCAAGGGCTAGGCTAAACCAAGGGGGAAATTGTAATCAGCATGGTTAAATAGAACATTAAAGTTTGATTTTTTTCCTTTGAAGACAAGTGACTTCTTCAAATTTCCTCAAGCCTAAAACATAAACTTCAGGAGGCACAAGGATCCAGTATTCAGACCTAGGGGGAAAATGTGTCCTTTAACCGAAGAGGAGACCCGTGTGATGTTTGAGAAAATCACAAAATACATTTGGGAGAATCTTCAGCTTCTGGTTGACAGGCCCATCGGCACCTATTATTTTAGGCTGCACAATGACCGGGTGTGCTACGTGAGTGAGAAGATGCTGAAGCTGGCCGCCAATATCTCTGGGGACAAGCTGGTGTCGCTGGGGACCTGCTTTGGAAAATTCACCAAGACCCACAAGTTTCGGCTGCACATTATGGCTCTGGATCACCTGGCACCTTATGTCAAGTATAAAGTGTGGATAAAGCCTGGAGCAGAGCAGTCCTTCCCGTATGGAAACCATGTATTGAAATCTGGTTTGGGCCGGATCACTGAAAATACTTCTCAGTACCAGGGAGTGGTGGTGTACTCCATGGCAGACATCCCTTTGGGTTTTGGGGTAGCAGTAAAGTCTACACAAGACTGTAGGAAAGTAGACCCCATGGCAATTGTGGTAATTCATCAAGCAGGCTTTGGGGAATACATTCGGCATGAAGAGACATTGACTTAAAATGAAGTCCTCAAGAATTCAACAGCTGTGTGGAAGAGCCTAGCTTTGTTTCCTGTGTCTGTGCAGATGCTTCCATCATGTGGAATTTTGTCAACCCTGTGACCGCTACAAGGACTTCTTAGTTTAATATTCTCTCACTAAAAAGTTCAGGTTGGATTTTTACTGTACAGAAATGCCTCAGAAGTGGTTTCAAATCTTTGTGTTTGTGACTAAATAGAATACTCTTATTCTATATATGAATCATTTTTATATTTTGAATCAGAGGGCTTCTTGTTCTGAATGATAGGTTCTAAATCATCTGAACTGAGGACAAGAATAGCTTATCATTGTTATCTGTGATAACATCTTGTTTTTTTGGCTCATGATAAGAACACAGTGGATTTTCTTTTTTGTACTATCATGAAAGATATTAGACTATAAGATTTTACAAGTGGAATTTGGCTGAATTAGTAAGTGCCATTTATTCAGCTGTTTTTCCATATAGTAAGTGTTGTATGTGTGGGGAAAAAAAACTTGTATTCAAACCCTAATTCTTCCTCCTTCAGGCTCTATGGCCTTGGAGGAGTCTTTCAACTTTAATAAGCATTTTCTTTTTCTATTAAAAAAAAGTACCTTTAAACATCAGTTTAGGTAAGTGGTTTTTAGGATAAGAAATCATGATTGTAAAGCATCTACTACAATGCCTAGCAAATGGTAGGTGTTGAATAAATGGTAAGACCTAGTTTTATATTATGTATTTCTATTACTAAGCATAGGATCTTAGTGTAATCTGATTATATTGTCTTGTTTCTTACATGATGTTTTATGGTCTTTTTTCATGGATGGGGTGATCCTAGGCTGAAGTGTTCTTTTCATCACTTTGATTTCATAAAACATGACTTATGAACCCCTCTTTACCTTACAAGACTGAACCAAAAGCACTAGAGACCATGAAATTATAATTCAGCTCCTTCATCCTTTCCCATACTTCCCTAAATTATTTTAGAATTTATAAAACTTTTTTAAAAGATATTTTACAGCCAAAAGTTTTTCAAACTACCCATTTATAAAACAAAACAATTTCTTAAATATATACTATATATTATTTTTAATTCAAAAGTTTACACCTTTAAAAATAAAATATTTTCAACTACAAAAAAAATAAAATAAACTGCAACCCCACCTCTCCTCAGACAAGATGAATGGACAGAATATGCAGATGCTGGCCCCAGGAGATCAAAAAGTCTGGCTTTATTTACACAGACCAGAGAAGGGCAAGGCAGGCTCTGGGAAGGAATGAAAGAAAACTGAACTGTATTGTCTCATTTAAAAATTGGATGAAGAAATAACAAGATCATATTTATGATGAAAGGCCATTGTACAGAAAAATAATTTACTTTAAAATATATTAATATTTTAATAGAATATAGGAGGTACGAAAATAAATATACATGTTGTTGTATATTAAATATCCTTTTTTAACAATTAAGAAACAGGGACAAAAATGCAATCATGAGTGTACTCCAGAAAAAAGATGGAGAAGTCAGGTGCAAAATCCCCATCCCTCGTCTAACACATGAATAAATAATTAGAGCTCAGGTAATACCTTAGCAGTGGAGCTCTTGACTGGTATGCACAGCAGCCTAAGTTTGGTCATCAATACTGCAAAACAAAAAAGTAGAAAATATGAAAACTAACTATGGCAGACCTCAGAGAAACAAAGATTTATAACATCCAAATAAATGCTAAATTTCAAAAGGCAACATTCATCTATTCTTTTATGTTGCCTCCTCTTTTCCATTAGAGATCTTAACATATTTATAATATTAATATTTTATTTCTCATAACTCTAACATCTACATCATATTTGTGTCAGATTCTAGTGATTGTTTTATCCCTTCAGATCTGTTTTTGCTTTCCTCTTGGATGTTGCTATGGTTCAAATATATGTTCCTTCTAATATTCACATTGAAACTGAATGCATACTGGCACAGTATTAAAAAGTGGGATTTGGGGGTAAGTGCCTTGTGAGTAGATTAATGCTTTTATAAAAGAGATTTTAGGGAGGGCTTTCCTGTCTTGTCTTTCCACCTTTCACCATATGAAGTCGCAATTGAAAGGTATCATCTGGGAAGCAGACAGATCAGGCCCTAAAAGCCAGAAAAACCTGCCAACACTCTAAACTTGAACTCCCAGCACCTAGAAATGTAAGAAATAAATTTCTATTGTTTATAAATTGCCCAATCTGTGGTACATTGTTATTGTAGGGTACATAGAATGACACTGGTTCTTCATAATTTTAAAATTATGAATAAGAAGGAAGTCAGGTATAGTATGAATTGATGAAATGAGAACTTAGTGTAAGTATTTATGTTAATTTACCACTAGGTGGGTCGTGTTTGTTTTAGGTACAGGTACTAGAGTCTTTTAATTCCTTTAGTGTGTTTGTTTTCTTCTTTCCTCTTGATTGTGGGCTTCCATTTTGTGTTAGTCAGGCTTCTCCAGAGGAACAAGGCAAGGGTCTATGAATATACACATACAGAGAGAGGAGAAATTCATTAGAAGGAGTAGACACACAAAGATGTAGAAGCTGGTAAGTCTAGAGTCACAGATAGCTAGCAGGCCAACATTGATTCAGGTCAAGTCCAAAGATATTCTGCTCTCAGAATTTTCTCTCTCTCAGGGAAATCAGTGACCTGGTTCTTCCAGGTTTTCAGTTGCTCAGATGATGCCTACTCAAATATGGTGGGAGTCTGCTTTACTCAAAGGTGCTGGAGTGTAACTTATTAGTAGAATTTCCCTATGTATGCAATGATCCCCTGCATATATCCTCAGCATAGAATCTTTTTAAAGTAAATTGCATTCAAAAGCACCCTGACTATAACATCCAAAATAATGTTTTACCCTTCATGTAGACACTGTTGACACATACAATTGCCCTTCATATATATATTTCACTCTTCAAGGTCTGTGTTCTCAGCCCTTTCAGTTGTTGCTGCCCTGATACTATAGATGTGATGGGAAGTTCACAGGAAAGAGGCTTTCTAGAATACTCTAGATAAATATCAGCATTTCATTTGGCCTGTCCCTTGGCATCCCAATCCACCGGTTGTCTAGCAGGAAAGGTGTATTGCCTGCCTCAAACCCCATTCTCTCCCCTACCGCATCATTCCCAGGGCAGTTCTTTGCATCATTAATTCTTGTTGGCTATGGGTTTCTTCCTCCTGAGTGATAAAATAAGGCTGTAGAGGGCAGGAATATAGATGGCTTCCTTTCTCCAAACAGAGTTAAATTTTCAAAGTTAGGATCTGCCAACATTTGTTACTGAGAAAATGCTACCAGTTTTCACAATGTTTTCTTTTCCCCTCTTTTTCCAGATCCTGCAAGATATCCTTACTGGGTGAACTTCATGGGGCTCTGGAGATAAAGGTCATGAGAGCACATACAGGATGCTAATCCCCAGCAATTCCTCACCTTCACCCAGCTGTTTCTCAAAACTGCCTATCAGTTTGCATCTCCTGTTATTTCTGCTCCAGTTAAGCAAAACTTTGTCTCTGAATTCACCTCTATGTCCATGATTTGTGATTGGTGGTTAGCCTGGTTCACTTAGGATGCTGGATCGATAATTTTTAAGTGCTTTTTGAATGCTCTGACAACATTGCCTTTAATTAGAAGTCACTTTGCATCAGCAGCTTCTGGCTTTTCTTAAGAAGGGAAAGTTTTCATATGTGACATGTATAAAATCCAACCATTCAAAGAATATTTGTCCATCATTATATGGAAGCACATTTTGCTGAAAAACTAAATAATTTAAAAATTTAGTCTTGTTAAAATAATTTAGTTCTAGTGTATGTTGTATTATTTCTTTTAAAAGTCACTAAACTCTTTCCCTTCAAATTGTTTTGCTTGTCACTTTAAAAATAATTCACATGTATTTTTTCTTCCATGTGAATAATATTATGAGAAATTCTTTAGTAAACAGCAGGTTTCTCACTTCTAAAATGTGTGTTTTCAGTCAACCATCTCCTGAAATTTGAGATGCAAGCGTATTATTTTCCACAATATTTGCTTGTTTCCTGCCAGATTGCCTAAGAAATTCTATCCTATGAAGTTTTGATGAAAGCAGCTGAAGAAATATGAACTATTTAATTAACAGCTTTATTAAAAAAGGGAAGATTAACATTTATGTTCACACATTTTGAATTGAAGAGAGTTCTTTTCAAATGATGAAATTATACACCTGAAGCATGTAACTGAAAATTCCTCCAAGAGAGGAGCTGTATAACTGCCTTTCCATTTTAAAAAATGTCATGCAGCATTGTGGAACAAAATTAGGATAGGAATAAGTAGCATTAGAAATCATTTTTAATTTTATTTTGGGAGATAAATTAATCCTTCTCTAACACTAAGATATTGAATAACTTGTTTTATTCATTCTGCTGCATTTCATTCCAGGCACCTAAAAAGAATTAAACATTGGCTGCCTTCTTGCTTCAGGTGGGATGAATTTAAATTTCTCAGAAGTATTTGGTAAAACTAAAGAAGTCAACAACCAAGGGTAATCTTAAATAAATTGGCTCACAGATAACCCCTGGACAAAATTAGAGATCACTACTCAAGCATACATTGACCTAAGACTGCCACCAAGATGTTTGACATAAAGATTTGGCCCAGATATGTTGTGGAATAGGCTACAAAGGACCTACCTCATTTCCTTATAGCAGTTATTTTGGCTCTTACTCTGCTGTTTTTTGCAAGTACTCTCTTGTCCTGGAAACTGGTCAAGATGATTGAAGCCCTGGAGAAGAAGCAATAAAAACAAAAACATCAAGAAAACACTGCAAAAGTGAAATGACTGAAAAACAAAAATGATTAAATGAATTAACAGGCTCAGCAAGAAGAGAAAAATTACTTGCAAAATTGCATAGCTTAGGAAGGGCCCAGTGAGGTGTTTTAGATTTCATGAAAATTAGTACTTAGGAGATGATATCTGTTCATATAGAAGAATCATATTAAAATCT